TTGAGAAGAAATTTCGAATATTCGAATAATCGAATAATTCGAAAATAATATTTTTTCGAATATTCGAATTATCGACTTATTCGGAAATTAAAAATTTCGAATATTCGAATTTTCGAATAATTCGAAAAAACAAGGCTTTCGAATATTCGAATTATCGAATTATTCGAAAATCAGAAATTTCGAATATTCGAGTTTTCGAATTATTCGAATTCGAATGTTTTATTCGAATGGCCGAGTATTTATTCCAATCGGTCCAATGTATACTGCAGATAGAATGAATTGGATGCGCGTCACCACTTCACAATCTTTTGCCATTGTTGTTCGAATATTCGAATATTCGGAAGTCCATCGAATATTCGAATAGTCGAATAATTCGAAGACCGAGACTTTCGAATATTCGAATAATCGAATAATTCGAGAATGGATTTTTTCGAATATTCGAATAATCGAATAATTCGGAAATAATATTTTTCGAATATTCGAATTTTCGAATTATTCGAATTCGAGTGTTTTATTCGAATGGCCGAATATTTATTCGATTCGGTCCAATGTATATCTCATATGTCGTTGAAATACAGGTTAGGCACTTTTTATCACATTGCAAGCAGTTGAATATACGGGTATTGCACATTCATGAAAGACTCTCAGCAAATATATCATCAATTACATATCACTCATTTCGATGTCTCCTTGGCTTGGGTAACTCAACGGCACATCGGCTTTGAATTCGTGTCGTTTCATATGCAGCTGAAACCATTGATTCGTTGTTTGAAAGAAAACAAGGAAAGTACTTTTTTTCTCTGTGAGAGTTTTTGCGGTCATAATTGCATACATTGTTGGTAATTTTTATAAAAATTGTTTCAATTTACTATTTGATATATCTAGTTTGCCAAACATATCTCCTGCTATACTTGTAAATCTATATATAATTAACATAATTTACTATATTGAGATTAGTATTTTGTCATGATGCTCTTTAAGGTTGGAGGTATACTCTATGTTATCAGCATCATTGTTTTGAATTTAATCTAATAATTTTACCTGTAAGTGGTCACTTCTGGCGAAGCATCGAGAGCATTCGGGGCATCGAAATGGTTTCGCGCCTGTGTGCTTGCGATAATGCCGCGTGAGTTCGTCAGAGCGCGCAAATGTCCATGAGCAGTTTGGCCACTGGCAGAAATACGGTTTCTCACCTAGAATACCATAAGTTATTGAAAATCACAGAGTTAGGAGGAAATGGCAGAAATTATAATAACGTTTTTGGTCTTGATTTTATTCTTTACTAGATTTGTAAGTTTGGTAAAAAATTCTTTGTATACACCGTTCTTTCTGTGTGCCTATAGATCACTGGAAGAAAATGTTCTTGTTTACCTTTTCACGAATTAGGTCGCAGTATCCAAAAAATC